TTTTTTTTTTTGCTTGAAAGGGCTTAAGCAATTTTAAATTAGCTTAAGCCAAATTTGGTTGCTTAAGCAAATTTCACTTTCAAATCTCTTCTGACTCATTTAAGCGTGTTTCTGAGTGTTCAAGCCCTTTTGTCGGTCACTTACGTGAAAAAAACTCGCTTAAGCAACCAGGAAACTGTAACCTGCAGTTCACGCCAAAACTGCAGGCTATCAGGGTCCCAAAATAATATAAATATAAGTCAAACTTTTCTCTTTCAAAATAAGAATTCTAGCAACTCTTGTTGTATCAAGATTTGTTTATCAAATGGAGTGATGTACATTAAACATCATGCAATAACGATCACTAGTAAAACTTTGGATTAAATCTAACCAAATTACCTGCTGGCTGCCAAAAAGCACCACATAAAACACTGCAAAATAGCAACTAGCCTCTTGGAAAATGGTGACATAAATCACCAAGTAATCAAATAGCATCCATAAAATCAAAATACCAAATCTTCAAGATAGTTTATAAAATCAAAATTGAAACAAGTTACACAAAAGTCTACAATGATACTACTTATAGTAACTATAAGCATAGAAAAGGTCCTTCATCCTTGGCAATAACCACAGATTAAGTCCATTAAAATAGTTACTACTAGCTTCTAAATAGTGTGTGAATAATGATAATGTTTGATTTTTAAATATTAAAATCTTAAAATTGCAGCCATAATATAAAAAAGAAATTTTGTGGCAAAAATTGAGCTAAAAAACAGATTTTTGAGTTTGAAAAAATAGTTTTGGAGATAATAAATCATTTTTAAGTTCAGAACCGGTTTTAAAAACCAGTTTTATATTGAAAACTAGTTTCAAAACTAATTTTATGTTCAAAATGAGTTTTGATTGAAGCCAAACCAAGAAACCGGTTAATAAACTAATTTTAAAAGGGTTTTATTAAGGATTGAGATTAATTTTAAGAAAAAAAATTAAATATAAAACAATAATTAATTTTAACTTAAATGGTTTGTAGAAAAACTTTACCTTCTCTCATCCATTAGATAGTGCAATTTTTTTTTTCTATTGGATAGTACTATAAATTCTGCAAGAATATTAAAATGTTTATAAGCGTTTACAATTATTGTAATAGTAATGTTAAGTAAGATATGTTTATTTTCTCTTTTTAAATATAATTTTTTATTGTTAAAATTAAAAAACAAAAAAGCTTATTTATTAATGTAAATTTTGAAAACTGTTTTTAAAAATATTTTTTTTCACTATTAAGGTATTTTTTTATTTTTCTTTTTAAAACTAATGAAAGTCCAACTAAAAATAATTTTAAAAAATAAATTATTAAACAAATTTTATTTTTTAAAAATTATTTTATAAAATTATTTTAAAATATAATTTTTAAAAATTAAAACTAAATCAAACAAGCAGAATCGGACAATTTTAAAATTTGGTTTGGTCGGGCTTTGTTTATGCAAATTCGAAACCATGCTTACCCTTACGCCTGGCTCCCGCAACCAAGCTACTGCCGCTGCGCAATCATGTGCCGCCACCGGTAACAGAGATCTGATAGTGGCTTTGATTTTTGTTCTTGGTCCAAGCATATAAATTTATGTATATATATCTGAAAATCGTTGTTCCAGGAATTGACACTTGTTCATTTTTGTTCGGGTTGCATCGTTAACCTCTGTTCCAGTTCGCACGCCTTTTCTTGCCGTTCTTCGTCTAAGCCTGTGGTGTGTGTTTGTGCTATTTATCACCATGTTTTTTGGTTTGTCTATATAAATATATATAATTGAGTCCTTTCAAACAGAAGAAGAGAGCTTTTCAAGTTAAGATATCTCATGTCTGGTAGGTAAATTGTGTAAAAAGGGATCAAGGAGAAGCTTTATCTTGTAGCTATGCATGCCTTATTCTGAGCTAATTGTAGCGTAGTGAAATCATTGTACATTCTTCTCATTTTACCCACCTAGTAGTTGAATAAGATCGTGATTACAAATTACCGAAAAAAGAATCATGATTGCACCAATTGAATTTGGAGTTCAACTTTGATATACTATTAGTATGTAATTTTTTTTATATCATTGTTTAATGGAGATCAGCTTATTATTTTTATTCCAGTCGATAACTGAATGTAAATATAGTTTTTATTGATTGATTTGATTTTGATGTGTTTGTGGAATCTTTTATTCTAACAATCTATCACGTAAATAATTTCAACTTTCTTAACATTGTCAATTTGTTTATTATATTTGCGTATGCTTGTTTCGGTCTGTGTAGAAGAGTGTTTTGTCCTTAAACTTGTACAAAATAATAGTAGATTTCTGGTTTTGAATTTGAATTGGATCTGTTCATATGGAAAGAACAATAGTGAAGAAGCTGGTCATCTTTGTTGTCAAAAAGGTTAAGCAACTTCTAATTTTTGGCATAGTGGATAGTGTATGGATTTAAGTAATTTGGTCTAAGATGCTAATATATCCCCTCCCTTTGTTAATTTTGACATGCCGGAAAGGTAACTAGTCCAAAAGAACGCTCTAATTGTTAAAACAAGAAATCATCGCAAAATGATTAGGAGAACAAGTGACCATAGCTTAGCTGCAAGGATCCACAACATCAACATCCCAGTTATTAATACTAGTGACCTTATAACCAGCACTCCTAGTCACCTTCACAGTTAACCCCTTTAGGAACAACCAGTACCATTCCCATTTGCTGGCAAGCTAAACTTGCAGTGCCAGTCACTGCCCCCCTTGTGTTAGACTTGAATGAGAACCAAGACTAAAATGAGAAATAGTATGCTTGCCAATGGTATAACCTCTTTCTAGATAATATGATTGAAAAAGAGAACTCCTTCAATCATGCATTGGTCTGACTCTGACCTACCTTTTTAATATAGAAAGTTCTCGTGAACCATCCTTCAATCATCCATGGGATTGTCGAGTTTTCCCAATGGAGCTTAATCAGAAATTAACTGCGTAGGGCAGTGGGTTTTGCTGCTAACAACTAGGAGAGAGAGAGAGAAAATAACACAAGTTGATCACTTTAGATTTGTAAAGTGCCTTATTGAGAAGACTTTTTTGAAGTCACAATTTAGTTTTGTTTTGAAGTTTCCAATTCCATAATCTACCAATGCTGCTCATGCATTTGAGGATAGTTGGATAACCTTTGGTTAAATGTAGCATGGACCTAAAATATACAACTAACAAGACAAAAATGCACAATAGTCTAGCATGGACAATTTTGTGAGTGCTTTGATTAGTTTCTGTCCTTGGTGATGTAATGTAGCTACAAGGACAACTTCACTGTTATTCTTAATCATTTGTCACTGTATACTTAAATTATGTCTGATTCTGTTTTGCATGTGACAGATATTTCATTGCTATACGATACTTCATGAGTGATTGCATTTCCAATTGCTAGAAAATTTCCTTCAATAAAATTGCTTTCATATAGTTAAGGCCTAATGAACTTCTGCAAGATTTTATTAAGCTCCTTGGATTCGTTTTATTTTTGCTAACAGAAAAACCTCCCTCAAGTTATGAACAAATTGCTGGTGCTATGACTGTGTTTATTCTGAAATTTGATTTATAGTACATTGCAGTTTTGATTCACTAAAATTCGAAGATGAATAATTGACTGAGCATTTACCTTATCACATTAAAGTTTAAGCAAATTCACCTTAGGAAAAAAAATATATTTCAAAACACATTATGGTTTTTATCTTCATTTGAAATTGATTGGATTAGGTTTGATTTGATGCGATTGAATGTGTTCCACATTTAAGAAGCTTGTGGAAGTTTTAGATTTTATAAGGGATTAATATAGGTTCACACATCATTGAATACCATGGAGTGGTTTGACTTTGTGAATTTTGTATTATGTTTTGAAGTGGGTTGCTTCTAATTGTCTTGAAAGAAGGTGAGGTATGCTCTAGTTGTGGAGTATGTTTGGGTTGTGTGTTAAATTTTAACATGGAAAATGGAACTCTATTTGTTTTGGTATGCAAGATCAAGGCCTCATTACTTTGCTAAAAAGGAACTTTCCACAGCAGCTCCCCTAATATCGATGACCTGATGATATACTATCTGGTACTCTAATTAAGGATGTTTTACCTTTTTGAGTAAGAATAATTGAAGTTGTAACATGTGTTCTTTAACTGTGTGAACTGAGTTAAAGCATAGAGGCAAGATTTCCTTAGTCCTGACTCCTGACTAATAATTTGTCCACGTGATAGTTGATAGCGGTAAAATTAGTATTGAATATATTTTTGCATGAAATGAGACAACCAGAATTGAATTTCTTTAAATTGATTTATGGACCTATTTGTAATTATTGTGAGGGGTTGAACAGCCTTCTATTTGCTTACTATTATTACTATGAGTAGTATCATTGGAGATTTTTGTGTACTTGTTTCAATTCTAATTTTGTAGATTATCATGAAGGGATGGTTATTCTTATTTTATGGATCCTATCTGATTACTGGCTGATTTATGTCTTTTTTCTAGAGGCAAGTTGCTACTTTGTTTGGTTTCGTAGTAGATAGCCAAACAATTGTTTTTTGTGTGTTCTATGGTGGTATTTGGCAAGTAAATTGGTTAGACCTCCAAAGTTTTACCTGAGGACTGAGGCAATGTTGATGCAGAATTTACTACATGGTTGTGAAATACTTCAATTACAGAGCAAATGATTCTCAGCAAATTTGTTTTTGTTCACTAAAAGCGTTTTGCTGTAGTTTACCCTATCAAACTTCATTTGGTGCTCATTTATCTTTCTTGAGAATGGTTGGTCAACACACTTTTTGCAGCATTTGATATCTTATGATTCTTTTCATACCTTCAATTTTTTTTTTTATAATGCTGAAGGATTCCTTGCCTAGAAGAAGGCAACAAGAGTTGATAGAAATGTTATATTGCAACAGTTGTCTCAGGAACTGAAATTGACTTAGATTTGTTTTATTTTGGGAACAGAAGAAGGTTTGAGTCTGATTGCTGTTACAATTCACAATATCTAAACAGGAAACAAGTGCAAAAAGCTCTACATGCTTAGCTTGGTGAGGTCACCAAAAATGGTCAACTTGCAGCGGGTATGTTTTAATTCTTCAAAAGTGGATTTGGTTAAAAATTTGGTTTCAAAACTAGTTTTGGCTTAAAAATTAGATTTTAAACTAGTGTTTATAAAATACATAGATTTAAAAATGAAACAATTTTGAGATTTTCACACTCTCACAGTTTGATTTGGACAGTGGAGGACCTGCAAGCTCAACATGTCTGTTTTGAACAGTAGCTCTGGATTTCAGTATGCTTTTAATCAGGGTGACAGAATCAGCTCAGATGGCAAGCATTACCTCATACCAAAATCACTTCCTTCAGAACCACCACTTTCACCGATCCCCAACCCCCCTCTTCCATCCCCACCACCAGATCCCCCTGTGTCCACTCTTCACTATAACCGCTTCCTCCACTTCCTCAAGACCCACTTGTCCCCACCCTTGACCTCTGACACACTCCTTCATTTCCTCAAATCCAAGCTCCACCGCCACCCTTCCTTCTCCCACTTTGACTTCCACCTCTTCAACTGGGCCTCCTCCATTGATTCCTTCCGCCACACCCATTCCACCTTCCACTGGATGGCTCACACCCTCACTACCACTCACCGCCTCCCACAACTCCGCTCCCTCCTTCGGTTTATCGCCTCCAACCCTTGTCCTTGCTCCAACGGCATCTTCTCTTGCCCTCAAACAGAACCCATTTTCTGCATTGCCATTCACGCTTTCTCCAAAGCCTCCAAACTTGACGATGCTGTTTTTGCCTTTCACACCATGCGTAGGTTGATTGATGGAAAGCCTGGCATCACTGTTTGCAATATCTTGATTCATGGGTTTGTCAAATGTGGTCAGCATGATAGGGCTCTTCAGTTTTATCATGAGATGATGGTCAGGGATAGAGTGAAGCCTGATGTTTTCACCTTTAACATTTTGATTAGTAGTTATTGTCGGCATTCGCAGTTTGGTTTAGCACTGGACATGTTTAACAAGATGAGGGAAATGGGGTGCTATCCGAATGTTGTTACTTTTAATACATTGATTAAGGGGATGTTTAGGGATGGGAAGATTGAAGAAGGGATTGGGATGGCTCATGAAATGGTTGAATTGGGGTGTCAATTTTCATGTGTCACTTGTGAGATTTTGGTTCAGGGACTTTGTGAGGGAGGGAGGTTTTTGCAGGCATGTGAGCTTTTGGTGGAATTCTCCAAAAGGATGATTTTGCCTAAAGGGTATGATTATTTTGAGTTGGTGGAGGTTTTGTGTGGGAAAGGGAATGCTGTTAGGGCATTGCAGCTCATTTATGAGTTGTGGGACAGAGGAAGTGCTCCGAGCTTGATTGCGTGTGCTGTCATGATTGATGGTTTAAGAAGATTGAGGAAGATGGAAGAAGCTTGGAGGTTGGTGGAAAGAATGCTTCAAGAGTGTATGGTGCTGGATGTGGTGACTTTCAATTGTGTCCTTCAAGATATTTGCAATTTGCAAAGAACTGAAGAAGCAAATAAATTGAGATTGCTTGCTTCAAGTAAGGGTTTAAAACCAGACGGCATGACATTTAAAATTTTGGTTATGGGGTATATGGGAGAGGGAAATCGAGAGGAAGGAGAGTCAGTGGTAAATGAAATGTTGGACAGGGGGTTTATATCTGATCTTGCCTCATATAATAAATTGATGGATGGGTTATTGCTTCGCCAACGTTCTATATGCCATCAAGTGAACAAATTTGATCGCTGACATTGCAAATATTTAAGAATCAACTCGAATTTTTATTGAACTTGTGAACGGGCAGAGGTGATTGTGGAATGATTAAGAACTGAACCGATAAGGGAATTGGAAATGGGGATGTGGAGGATTGAACCCCCTGTAATCACAGGTCTGCAGCTGCTTGAAAAAACCCGGGAACAATATCATTTGAGCTATGCTCCATCCACTGTGTTATAAGGGAATGTCGAAGTTAACAGTCTAACCTAGTTAGGCAGCAGTGTTGTTCAGTACTTGGATAATTGCAGAACCTTTGTTGAGATTGAAGGCATCCGTATTTGTGTTATGTTTATTCTTTTGTATGGTCAATTTAATGGCTACTGTACTGTGTCAAATTTTGAAGGTATATAGTTTCATAAATACTTGATAGTTCTTAGTTGCTTTTTCCCCTTACATATTGTTATTCTTTTGCTTTTGGTCGTCATGAAAAAAACAGCTTTATTATCTTACTATGTTATGGGCTACGAAAGAAATTGTTTGATTTTCAATCTTCCTTGTTTGTAGATCCCATAGTCGGTATACAAGCTCAAGTAAAGGAGGAGATTTGTATTAGGCCTTCAATAGTCAAAGTAAAACTTGCTGAAAATCATGCATGTATCACTAGTTCACTACTTCTTATTTGTAGGTCTCCTTTACACATTTTGACATGTTTTGATATCACAACTCAAAAGTGTTGTATAATTTTTCATTTTTCAATAAATAATGAGATGTATTAGAGGTTCGAAGAAAGGCACTGTTCACATTTACAGATTTGATAAGTCAGATATATTGGATGAAGGAAAAGAGAAAGCATAGACGGTTTGTGTGATGACAATATTTTATTACTGAAACCACGAGGTATCATCAGAGACCTCAGGTTCAGCCAATTTTATGCCATACGTTGGTTTTACAGTTAAATCTCTATTCCCAGGAACTTAGCACCTCAAAATTACTCAACAAAATGCGTGACAGTTTGTTTTGATGGTTTTATCTTTATTGTCAGAAACTGAAGCATTTGAAAGTAAGGTAATAGTTTGACACTGTTATAAACAGGACATATCCTTATATATATGAGTAGTTTTGTGAGCGTAGGTTTTCTGTGAACAAATTTTTTTTAATGCAAATGAACTCTGGCGTCTATGAACCTTGTGTTGTTGTTTTGTTTGGTTGATAGTCCATAATTACCTGTTTTTAAACAATGTTACCTTCAATTACTTTCTTAGGCTTGATCTTCATGTCTCCTCCTTTATGCATTTAGATACGTGTGAATTTCTATCCATACTTCAAAATTGGCAATATGTGTAGATCAAATTGTGATGTCATTTCACTGCTTGATTTGTAATGGTATTGGTATTGCAGATTTTACTCCTCTGAAGAGGAATGTGCTTTTTTGGAGGATAATGATTGAGGAGATATGATTGTTGGTTAGATACTTAATAAATGAAATTGTAATAAGATACGTGCACATATATAACAAAGGATAAAGTTCCCTGTTTTAATTTGTATTATATAACTTCGTATTTTACCTTTTGAAGTACTTCTTTTACTTTAGCGGGGAATTAATTAAATCAATTCCTTGAAGTTAAATTATAATTTAAAAAAATTTACTTATTTTGTGTGATTCGAATAATTTATTTCATCTTGTGATTAATGGATTTTTTCTCATTGAGTAAATAAATTATTCTCCTCTAGTCAATTTTAATGAAAGTAGCTCCGCTACCATTATATTAATGAGAAATTTAGGGGAAAGAAATACATTCAATGCTAACTACACGTCGACAACTCCAATACAATATCAACACCACACTTGCTCTCTCCTCTCTCCTAAAGTTGAAACTCTTTCCTCTTTTTCCTCCTCTTGATCGACCCTTCCACCGCCAAAAAGCCACCATTATTGCTCCCTCAGACCGACATGCAATCATATATAGAATCTCCTTCCCCTCATTCTCCTTTTTACGTATCAATACCACTTGATCATCAAAACTCAATGAAGAGTTCCCCTTGGAGTTCTTGTAGATTTTTGGCTTTCTACTCTCAAGTGGTGAAGCTTGGCACTCTTCCCTCTCCAAAAGTGTGACTTAAGGTGTTGGGGGAGTAGGAATTTTTTTTTCTTTCAAGTTTTCTTGAGCTTCCAAGTGGCAAGTTCAAGCTCTTCCTTGAGTCTCTATGAAGAGTTTTTCTAAAAACAAGCTTGAAGCAAGGAGACAAGGAGTGAAACTCTTGGAGCTGCAACCTTATATCATTACCAAAGTAAGAACATCAAGTAATGGGAAGAAGAGTTTTCCATCTATAGTTGGTTGTTGAGTTCATTGAGCTGCCCTTGACGCTTGACCCCATTGCACGCGTGTTTGTTGTGGCTGAAATCTGAGTCTCCAATGACAGCGAAAGCCCTTAGGATTAGGATTCATGATTTGATTGCTTGATGTTTCTCTATGCTATAACAACGAGTTTTTAACTTGTTTGATGTTTAGAAAATTCGTTTTGAGTACATGCAAGCTCTTTGCTGGTGTGTTGTTTTAAAATTGTGACTTTGCATGATGTTTTGACTCATCAAAAGTTGATTTGACATGTGTTTACTTGTTGTCTACAAAACTTTGTGATCTTAGATATTTTCTGTGAATTTATATAATTTTTGCGAGCAAGTCTTGACCTGGCCATTATATTTTACGCCCTTGTTATGTTGTTTTTGGAATGGGTGCTAACCCAAAGAAAATTTGTTATATCATGCCAACATGTTAAAGTTATGAAAGTTATGATATGGTGCTTTTGAGAATTTTATTCTATAAATTTAGTACTTGATGTACACATTGGTTTTAAGTCATCAATCATAGCAACATTGCCACACATAAGCTACTAAATCCTTATTGCAGGTCTTAGTGACTAATTTTCTCGCTAATCTTAACAAGTTGTGCCCTTGTTGGGTTGCTGCCACCGATCTTGTGGCCATGTTCCTCACTTGATGTGTTGGGTTGATCTGATCTTGAGCCCACATGCACAGCATTCCATGTAATAAAGATAAATTTTATTAAAATTGAGTTAAAAGGCAAATTCTGTGCATCTCGTTTGCATGGATTAATCTGCTTATTTGGTAATATACATGTGGATATATTTATATTCATGTATAATTGTTATGATGTTACTCTAGCCGCCTTCATATATTTATTTACATACCACGACCATGACCATCTTGGAAGATTATCCAGATGGACTTTTGAGCGAGTTACTAGTACTGAGGTTACAACTGATTCAGGTGATCTTTATCTTGGATCAGACGATTATCTCGATTCTGAAGACTTGACAGAGATAGAAAGCTAGCATGGAATCAACTAGTACTGGATTCTTAGTGTTGGAATATATTTTGGGATTTCTGGGACTTAAATTGCCTTTGAGATGTAATTATTTTGGTCATGTATATATTATTGAGTCCCACTTGTTTTACTAAATAGTTTGTAAATTATTGTATGAAATATGTATTATTGCAGCTTTTGTACCAATGTTGTAAAAATTTATTTCGGGTAATTGTGATTTATGTTTACTGTTATTTATTTAATATTTCCTGTATTGGTAAACATTGTAACAACCTTAATTACGAATAGGTATTTTATCTATTTATACTTACAATATTTTCTATACATGAAAATTTTATACAATATACTTAGTGTATAAATAGAATAAGCATCTTTAAAAATTTAAAAATTTAGGACGTTACAACATATTTATCATTTTCAGACATATCTCAGCAATAATGTTCTATCGCATCCAGTATATTCATCAAACTTATTCAACTATAATATTATACTTTTTCATTATATATTTCATATTTGCATAGTATAATCAATTAACCAAACCATCAAATATATGTATATTAGCAATCTTTCTTCATTAATATTCATTTCTCATACATACCTTATCAAAATTGCTACATAAACATGCTCTCACGAACTCAACATATAACTTATCATATAATGATAGAATAGAGTTCTCCTTACCTTATAATGAAGATCTAAATGGAGGTTGTTGATCAAGAACGTCCTAAAATAGCACTTTTACCTAGATAACATGAATTTATTCCTTAAAAATAAGATTCAAAGAAAACGAATGATAAAAACACAATTAAACTTAAGGAAATTTACCTAGGATCGCTTAGAATGAACGTATTTGGAGAATAATTGGTATTTGGAGATACTTTATTTGAGAAGATGTAGAGAGAGTTAAGAAAAAAATGAAGTCTGGACATGAAAGGGAATGAAGAAATGAAGTTTTCATGCATGAAACTCTTAAATACCCTCAGAATCGCGACATTCTTGCTACAGCGGGCTTTTCTCGCCACAACGAGAGACTATCACTACAATGATGCTCTCTTTCGCTACAGAAAAAATATCAAACAAAATTACACCATGTTTTCTACATTTTTTGCTATAGCGAGGTCATTCTTGCTACAACAAGACATCCTCACTACAATAAGAATGCTCTAGAATATTCCAAATTTCACCGCTCTCTTGCTACAGCGAGAGACTTACAATTCTAACACTTCAAACTTCTCTTAACATACTCTCACATGTATATTTATCATAACTATATAATTTTAATTGATATAAAAATAGGAATGTTACAATTTATGCAAAGCCTAGCCTAGCATATTTCCATCCCTAGTGCCAACAACCAAAAAATAGTTTATTTATCAAGAAAACTCAAAAGAAAAAGGTTAAAATATACAATTATTTCTTCAAAATGAAACTATTATAGCCTTAAAGGTGAGGCATTTGGGAAACATAGAACAAACCATGAAATTCTTCATTTATTGCTTCAATAAAATAATGTAACCTTTCCTCGTCTCCCCATCTTTCAACCCATTACCTTCCCTATGAAATCCCTCCAACACTTCTTAAACCATCTCACTAAAGTTTGGCGCCATTCTAAGCATGACAAGAAGCTTTATTTGAACCCTAATCCTATCCTTAAAATAGTTGTTAACATAATTCCTCAACCCTATACCATCCATTTTTCACACAAAACACTTAACTCATACTTAGGCACAACTGAGACCAAAACGATGCTCGCTCATTTGAGAGTTTGGTCTGTTGGGTCAAGAACTGGGATTGGGATTTTGGTTTGGGATTGAGAATGTGATTGTTCAAGGGATTGGAAAAGGTTGAAGCATTAGGTGAGGGGTTGATGGAGCGAGGCGAACTGTGAATCTAGGTCAGACTATGAGAGAAAGGATAATAGGTTTGACAAATTTCAAATGCTTTCTTCATATTCTCTTTCTTCCGTCAACAAGGTCAATGACGTTGGGATAGTCTTTAGCGTAGCCCTTGTTAGGAACTAAAATGTTTGACAAATAAAAATCTCAAGGAATAAAATGAAATAAAAAACACACATATATTGAATCAGATACGATGTCATTTTGGCAACGTAATAAATTATACATGTCATACTTAATATGATATGTCAATATTCTATTATTGTTTATTGACAATATTTGAGTCTAAGGATGAGCATGGTCAATGAAGATGAAAGGTAAAGACTAACATGACATTTTTAAAATTTCAAGGACTAAAATATTCAACACTTACTATCTCCGAGACCAAAATGAGAGTTGAGTCAAAATACTATATTTTGTTTTTTCTTTTAAAATATCATTTTTTAATATTTCATCCCCATATGTAATTTGTATATTATTATTATTATTATTATTATTATTATTATTATTATTATTACTACTACATGACAAAAGTTACTCAAAACAAGTGATTTATTTCTTTTGTACATTTTTTAGATAAAAAAAAAATCATAAGAAAACTAACAACACAAATGAACATTTGAAAATAGAAGCTTCAAATTCAGTAATAAATTTTCAATTTTGAATTCAAATATTCGACATCTCTCATAAATCACCCAAAATGATAGTTCAAAAATAGAATAATATCATGATAAATTCATTCTTTCTGAAAATTTACAATTAGATTTTAGGATATTTTTGTGTGAATTAGTACTTAGGAAAATAAAAATCATATTAAATAAATAACTTTTCGTGAAACTTTTAATTTGTTCTTAGTAAGTCAATTTGTTTGTAATAAATAAAGTTTTTATTCAATTTTGGTGTGTATTGGTTGTTGCAGGAATTCAAGATAAGAATTGATGAGTTGAGGCTTAAACAATCAAGAAGAACTTTAGCATCATTACTTTTGTCTCAAAAAGTAACTAGGAGTAGAAAAAAAAACACTTATGTGTAACCCCTTTGAGAGTAAAAAAGAGCCACGCGCAAGGTACGTAATATTTACTAATACACATAAACACTCAGGAAAACAATATTCAATCCAAAAGTCCGGAACACTTATAAATAGCGCATGTTTTAGATTTTAAAGTGGTCACTCATTTTTGTTCATGCCAATTCATGGAAAGTGGCATAGAGAGAGATCAAAGACTCAATTCTTGTAGAAACAAACTTAGATCTTCAAATTGGATAGAGTTCCTCTTCTATTCTTTCTTTTTCTCTTTCTTTCATCATGTCTTGCTAATTTCCTTTGTTAGGGATTGATGAATTTTTTTATGAAGTTGTAATTTGATTGTTATTTTGGATTCTTGGTTACTGATTGTATTGAACATTCATCTATTTTCTTGATGTAATTCTTAAACTAGCTACTCAATTGAATTGATCTTAAAGTGTCTACATCAGGAAAATTAAGTGAATAATTCTAATATAATATGAATGTCAAAATTATTGAAATCTTATAAATAAATATTGATAATCTTGTGATCTTCATATAATATTTGATTAATTTACACTTAAGAAATCACAATAATTAGCTAGATATTAGAATCATTGAGGCAAAAAATTAAAATTTGATTAAATTAAAAAATTTGATCATCAATCAGTCATAGAACCTCAAAATATAATCAATTTTACGATTGAAGATTAAGTAAAATTAACCTTTAAGTCTTTTTGATTAGTGAAATTCATTTTAGTTACTTGCATTGAGTTACTTTCGACTTTGTATTATTTGTTACATTTTATGTCCTAGTTTTTTAATTTTCCTATCTCTACAACTTTTGATTAGCTCAAATAGGTTACAAATCCCTGCAAACGATACTCAAAACTGACACTTTCATCTTTTATTACTTCCTACGATTACTTAGTTTGCTTGTTAGTTTGGATTAACACCACACCGTGCTCACAAATAGAAACTAATCACATTTAAAATAGCATTACACATATCAGAATCAGGATGACATACTGTGTACGATACCTAAAATCTTCTAATAACTCAAAAGCAATCGAACATATAAAGGGGGCAAGTAAAATTGAACAAATGTAAGTATTAATTTTAAGAGGGACAAGATAATCAACCTGAGCCACTAAATATTACAAATTACAACTACAAAAATCGGATCCTAACTGAGTTTCGCATGCTTCTCTATCATACAACAAATTCTACTAATGGATATGAAGCCTCATATTAGTTCAATGAAGCACCAAGGACAAACCAATTTTGTCCTCCCCAAGAATTTCGAAGAATTTAATGCTATTTATATAAGAATGAATTTAGACAGTTGTCACAAAAATCAATTGTAGACTTTATTCTTTTCATCATTGTCTTCATTGCAAAACCATTCCCCCAAAAGTTGCGTGGTCAGCTATGTCAATAAGATTAACTATCAACTCCAGCGGTAAATTTCTTCATTTCAAATCCAAACCTTTTTTCATATACTCATAAACCACGTAAGTGATACTTGCCGAAGGTACAACTTTGAGCATGTTAGGAAATATTCCTTTGTAAAATCCCCTAAAGCCTTCATGTTCCATGGTTTTCCTGAATACATCAGCCATTCCTTTATAGAAGCGTTGAGCCTGCATTCTGAAATCAACATTTATTTTACTTACGAATTTCCATAGAAAGCCAAAATGGTTGAAGTAACTAGGGCTCTGTTTGGTAAAATTAGTTGAAAGTTTATAACTCAGCTTATAGCTAAAAAGTAAGTTGAAATCTTATAGCTTAATTGAAAATTTTTAGCTTATAAGTAGCTGATTGACTAAGAGTTATTTAATAAAGTAGTTAAAATATATTAAATGACTAAACAGGACATGTAATATTATATTTGAATGAAATGACGAGAGTGATTTAGAGTTTGTACCTACGTCTAATTTGTTTCGGGATAAAAATGAGATAAAATTATTATTAGCTATAAGTCGAATGCTACTTTAAAAAGTTTTTCAAAAGCTAACTTTTAAAAGCTGAGCTCCTTTTGTTATGTGATTACCAAATGACTTTACTAGTTTATTTAAAAAAAATAAATCTATAAGCTATTGTTACCAAGCGCAATCTAGATATTTGAGCAACAACTTTAGGCATTTACCACCAAACTTTACCTTGTTCTAACCACCTGCAACGGGTAAACACATGTTGCTCCAAGAGCTCCAGATACAGTTCCACATCCTAATTGTACTAGAGGGCCAGGTTCTACAGAAGATCACAGAATTTAAATACTCAACAGAAAGCAGTATCTGGTATGGAACCTTACAAACAAATAAGATTTTTTTACCTGAATCATGAAGAATATACTTCTTGGACACATCCTTCAAGGTCTCATATGCAGCAAGATCTATCCCAGCATATGGGATAATCCCAAGAAGAGAAGGGATCAGTCCCCTATAAAATGCCCGGGGTCCTTCTTTAACCCATATATCTTTTGAAAGAGTTCCAAGATTAGGAATTCTTCCACTGTCACAAGCATAGGTTTGTAGTCGTGTTTTAACTAGGTCCATGGGATATATTGCAGTTTGAGCTACAGCACCAGCAATACCACCGGCTAGCAGCCGCCCCATTGCTCCTATATCAGCCTTTCCCTCTTCTCCTTTAGCATTCCCAATGAAAGTCTTCAGCATCTCAAAGGTATAAAATTTAATGGCACTCTCTGGGGCCACCTTGAGAACATTTAAGCCATTGCCTCGAAAAAATCCTAAAAGACCACCTTCTTTCCATATATCTTTTACTGCAGGCATTATATGAGCTCGTGCTGTTTGGACTTGCAAGACAACCTTTAAACGGTCAAGGGGTGCAGTTGCTGTGCGTGATGTTGCACCTGCTACTCCTCCTGCAATCAGATAACTGCTTGCATGAATGTGCTTGCTAATGCCAGCCGGAATAACAGTTTGCTCCCCAATATCAACCATGCATATCCGCTCCAAATAATGGTAAATGTTCTCAATGGTTGCCTCATGAGGGTAAAGCAGCAGAAAATCCCTCCATTCTTCAAATGTTATAACACCATTATTATCCTTATCAACACGCTCAACAAAACGAGCAAGTTCTTCATCATCAATCTTAATCCCTACAGAAGAGAGACTAGTGTGGCTTATTGAATGAATCAACCACCAAAGTACATCACAAAATCAAGATAAAAATCAAAGGGCTAGGGCATATATTGTGTATGTTGTCCATTGTTTACTGAGGGAAGATGAGACAAAATGGTAAACATGGTAATTCGTCAATCAGACAGAACGGGCAGATGGAGCTAGAAATAAAATTAGAGCAATCGATTAATTTTTTATGTGCACTATGAAATTTAACAACAATTTATCTTAATGTATCTAGTTATAGCTACTGATTACAGAACCACAAAATAGATAAATTTAACAGGTGGTTTTCACTTTCCTTTTCCCTTTTACTTTCCATAATGCAACTGGAGCATTTACAGTTAAGCAAATCTTACATATAAATTTTCTTAACAGGAAAAAATATGCCAAAATGTGAATGTTCTCCTGCCTCAACAAATGTAATCAGGATTTGAAATTAACACATATTACAGGGTATATTTTATCCTAGTGCCAAATTTTGGCAAGGGAATGTACATAACACTCATATTTCTAAATTCTAACCTCCAGTTGGTCTTGTGACTTGATGAATAGGTGATGTGAGGTTGGTACTGGAGATGAACATTTGATATCAAGTTGACATGTAAGTGCACTTTATACCACTATCACTAGTATAGCCAGTCATATAACTTGAGCAAGGGTTATTATTACTATAATTAAACTTCTCTGAATTTAACACAAATTTCTCCAAGGATACACTTAGCCAGTGCCAAAGTTTGACAAGGGAATGTACAGAACACAATCACATTTTTTGTTGAGAATATATCATAATTACTATTATTTATTGTAAATATTTATTGTCATTATCTCTAATTATTCCATTATCTTTATGATTATTAGGAGATGTTCTATGATATCTAGGACATTCTCTAATGTAAATATTAGGATTAGACTCCTATATATACATGTAAATTGTAATGTAATTTACATATAATAGAATTTCAGAATTTACAAGTTTTGTGAATGCCATTTTTTTTCTAGGGACAAACTAGGCAAAAATACCAACCATGTCAAGAGCACAGATTGCTTTGAAGGGTCATGCTAAGAAATACCTCAAGGACATTAATTAAGGAAGATTAAATATATCATTCATTTAATTACTTAAAGATTATTAAGTAATTTTTTATGTTCTCAATAAAATATTCATTTAATAAACCTTGCTTTGGTTCTTTGACTGGTTCAATAAAAATACTTTTTCTACTTTAATTCCCTTTAACCATTATGTAAGAAAACCAATAGCACACAATTCATTTGCTAGCTAGCTGATCCTGAAGAGGAAGCAATAATGCAGGGATGTGGAGAAAGCTCAAGATTCCCTATTCTGTGGGGAAGATTATTCATTTGGCTTGGTTCACAGATTAGAAAGGTATTTTTGCATGAAAGGGGCAAATGAGGAAGAAAGAATGCAATAATAGAGAGGGTTCAGCCACTCATGGCACAAAATGGTTTGCTCTCTTTTAGGGCTGAAGCAAACAGATTCAGTGGCAAAGTGGAAAATTTTGAAAGATATGCAGGCACTGTGAATGGATTAGAGAAAGATCATTTGATGGATGTAATTTTGAAAGGGATAAGGGAAAATATTGCGGCTGAAATCAATTTCTATGAGCAGAAGTCACTATCTGCAATGGTCAAGAAGGCTCTCATGGTGGAAGAAAAGAATAAAACAATAGCCAAAGCGGACACTTTCAGAGGAGGAAGGACAGGTAGCTCTTATAGGCCACATACAGGCTCAGGAGCATTGATAGTTGAATAAAACCCAAGAAGTGGGGTGTGTTAGTGTATGGCTTGAATAGCTCTTTGTGTAGCTAGCTTTCTGTTGTAAAGGTAGTTTTCCATTGTAACTGTTTATAGATCTGACAACTGTCAGTACCAGCCATAGCAGCTTGCTTAACTCTATAAATAATATATTTGTACACTTTTTGATATTCATTCGATAACAATTTAGCTTTCCAACCTTTCTGGTCTCTTCTCTCAAATATTAATATGGCACCATGAGCTTCTAAATCTGGGATTTATGGCTGAAGTTCGCACTCCTGCTTTCACTCTTATCACCTTCTCTCATCAACTCTCCATTAAATGGATGAATCTAATTTCCTCCAATGGAGACAAAAAGTTGAACGAGTTATTCATGACCATCTGTTGCATCATTCTTTAGTGAATCCAATGATTCCTTCAAAATTCTCACCAAAACTAATCCAATGAGGACAATGTCAATTCTCTGTATTCCGATAGGGAGTAACAGGATTTGCTGCTCACAACATGGCTTCTATCTCTAACTCTTCTTCGAAGATTGATTGGTAGTGTTCATTGTTCACTTGTGGTAGATTTGGGAACAAATTCATAACTTCTTTCATGTGCACACTCACGCCAAGTCACACCAATTATTTTTGGAATTGTGCACAAGCAAGAAAGGATCTAACTTTATTGCTGAATTAGGTTGGTTGTTGATTCGCTTTTGTCAATCAGTTATTCTGTTCCTTTTCATGATCAACTTAACATAATCCTTAAAGGACTTCCTGAGGAGTAGGATCCATTTGTGGCTACAATTAGTAACACTATTGAATAGTTTTGGTGAATAGAGAAAAATGAGATCACTCTCACTGAAACGCATTTGGTGAATCTTGCTCAATCCTCTCTGGTTGGTAATGCAACTCTGCAGAATTCAGCACCTACATTGTCAAATCAGTTTCCACAAAATTCATCCTCTGTGAAAGGGATTCAAGACAGTCGTTTCGGTAGTCACTTTTGTGGCAAAGGCAGTCATTACGGTGGTCAATATTTTGTTATTCAGATCTATAGCAAGCTAAGACATGATGCATCTATTTGCTACTACCAAGCCTGTACTTATCATCCATCAACTATGTTTTCTTACCAATTTCCACCTAGGAAAAACACTTTGCAAGTCCCGGGCAAAACACCTGGCAAGCTCTATCTGTGATTCTGTCACCACTCATCCTCAGAATCCAACTCATTTTTCATCATATTATGATTCAAATGCTGCCTGTTGAGCTCCTTATCCTATTCCAGGTTCTCAGTTTCTACCAACGACCTCTTCTCATGTTTTGTTAACTAGATCTGCAAACACTACCTCACAAGCTTGGTCTCCTGATTCTGGTGCTACTCATCATATTACTGCTGTTGTCTCTAATTTGGCTCAATAAATGTCTCTGTGGTACTAATCACATCTATATGGGTAATGATCAAGGTTTGTCTATTGATTCTGTAGGTTCTGCATCATTTTCCTCTCCTTTACAACCTAAATCCAACCTTGTTGTCAAAAACCTACTTCTTGTGCCCTCTACAACTAAAAATCTTATTAGTGTTAGCAGACTTGCCAAAAATAACTCAGTTTATTTTGAGTTTCATCCAACCTATTGTTTGGTTAAACCTCAGGCTTCCTCTAAAACACTCCTTTGAGATTCAGTTGGTGCTGATGGACTTTACCTATTATTTCAATGAGGTTCTGCAACCATTCAAAGCACCCAATATTCCCTCTGCACACAATAATGTCTAGTATTACTATGCGTAATCCAAATGTACCTTCATTTTCTAGTACTAGTATAAATAACATTGTAACCTCCACTCCCACTACTTACACCACTTAGCACTATAGACTAGGTCATCAACACTTTGATGTTGTAAAACAAATACTGCAACTATGTGAGTTCCTAATAAAAATGGAAGTTAGTCTCTGTTCAGTCTGTTGCCTTGGAAAGGCTCATTGTTTACCTTCTCACTCCTCAGATACCAAATATACACAACCACTTGAGCTTGTATTTAGTGATATATAGGGATCTGCCCCAGTGGAATCATCCTGGGGTTTTATTTTTTACACAGAAACCAAGGGGTTCCACCAACAAGCTGGTTCTAATTACAAAAAAACCTTCTCACCTGTGGTCAAGCCTAAAACTCTTAGAAAAGCTCTTACTCTAGCCTTAAAAATCACTGGTAAATTTAACAAATTAATGAAAATAACGCATTTCTTGATGGACTGGTAATGGAGAAAGTAGTTATGCACCAAGCCCTAGGATTTGAAGTTGATAATAAATCTTAGTCTGCAAGTTAAATAAAGTTCTTTATGGACTTAAGCAAGCCTGTTGAGCATGGTTTGAAAGACTAACCTCCTACACTTTTCAATTTGGGATTTATATCTAGCAAATGTGATCTGTGATTACCCTACATAGTTCTTCTCACGCATCTATGTATTAGCATAAGTTGATGATATTATTGTAATTCAGCAGGTTATCACTCTCCTAAACTTTTAAAGCAACTTGGAGACTTGATTTTTTCTTGAGGATTGAAGTCAAACATTTGAAAGATGGATCTCTTCTACTCTCAATCCAAATTAATCAAGGATCTTCTTCACAAAGCTTAATTGACAGAAGCAAAGGGTATCTCTAACCCATGGTGGATGGGAGGTGTAAACCCTATAAAATTGATTTTGACTACATGGAGAATCCTTCTTTGTACAGATCAGTTGTTTCGGCTCTACAATATGCTACAATAACCAGACCTGAAATTAGTTATGCAGTCAACAATGTGTGTCAATTCCTATCTCAACCTTTAGCAGAACATTGAAAATTGGTCAAGTGCATACTGAGGTACTTGAAAGGATCACTATATCATGGTCTCCTAGTAAGACCTACCTTACCTGATCATATCAACCCATCATCTAACAGCCTACTGTTATGCTGATAGGGAATCAGACCCAGATGACAAGGGCTCTACCTCAAGCTGCTGCATCTTTTTGGGACCCAATCTCATTTCTGGTGATCAAGAGAGCAACAATTTATCGCTAGGTTCAGTGCTAAATCAGAATTCAAAATGTGGCCTCAACTGCTGAACTAATCTAGATTTGACCTCTGTTAACAGAACTCAGAGTTCCTGTTGTTGTTCCTTGCATCCTTTGTGATAATATTAGTACAGTGGCTCTAGCCCATAATCCTATCCTACACTCCCGAACAAGGCACATGGAGCTGGACATTTTCTATGTTAGGGAAAAAGTTATCAACAAAATCCTAGTTATCTACCTGAATCCAATAGAAGATCAAACTACTGATGTTCTAACCAAGGCTCTCTCAGCTTAATGGTTCACTGCATTATGAGAAAAATTTTGGGGCTGTTTGGTTTAGAAATTGTTTTCTGTTTTTATTTTGTTTCCACTTTTAATTACAAAATTGTCACTTTATTTTTATTTTATTTTATTTCCTAATTTTAAATATTTGTACACGAAACACTGAAAATGGAAAAAAGTTGCTTTCAGTGTTTCCCATATAAATCTTTAGAAACAGAATGAAAACAATGTGACATTTTTGTAATAAAAGTGAAAATAGAAAATGAAAACAGCCTCTTTGAGTGTTTGATCCTCATGATAGTGCTTAGTTACCCACCCAAAGTTTATAGGGGAAAGTCTTAGTATATGGCTTGAATAGTTCTTTGTGTTTAGCTAGCTCTCTGTTGTAATGATAGTTTTCTGTGGTAACTGCTAGTAGATACGACAGCTGTCCATACCAGCCTTAGCTAGCTGCTTAACTCTATCAATAGTATTGCATTAGGTGCTTTGAACAATTTGATATACATTGAATAGCAATTTTAGCCTTCTGATCTCTCTGCTCTCTTCTCTAAAATATTAATAGAATGCAAGGGGCAGTTTCAGGGGGCATCTCATCAATGGGTTCATCTAATAACAGACCCATCACCACTGGTGGAGTAACAAAGGATAAATCAATAGGATATAAGAGGTTATCAGACCCAGAAATGCAGGAAAAGTTGAAGAAAGGGGAGTGGTTCCAGTGTGAAGATAAGTACAGGTCAGACCATGTTTGCAAGAATAGGCAGTATCAAGTGATGATATTGGAGGAAGGTGAAGAAAATAACAATTTGTATCCAGCAAGAAGAGGAGAATTGTGTGCAACTTTTTATGCAAACCATTGCAACTTTTTATGCAAACCATTGTTGGGTTGACTACAAGGGGTGATCACTATCCCTTATTTGGAAGTTAATTAAATATGAGGGAAAGGGTTAGAGGATTTTTCTAAACTCTCTTAACCTTGTATTTTTCAGTTCCCCCATTTTTGGGGATTTTTTAGTGACTCATATAGTGGGGTTTATCATTTATATTTCTATTCATTAAATTAATATTTAGCATAGTTTAGAGTTAGAATAGTAAGAAAATTAAAAAAAAAATTCAAAAAATGTTAGTTTTTAGAATGAGAATATTTTTAAAATTATAAAAAAATAGAAATAGAAATTTTAAAAATATTAATTTTTAGAGAGAAAAGTATTTAATTTATGTATTTTTTTGAAAAAGACAAAAAATACATATGAATAAAAAATATAAAAGGAAAATTAAGTAATTTACATGTTAAATATTTCATTACCGTTCCTTCTCAATATTAAACATCCAAATAAGGGAAGGGTTTACCTCTCCTCTCCTTCTCCTCCCTTCCTAAGCCCTTTAAACCCTTTCCTTCCTCTCCCTCCAAACTCCCAAACAAAGCCTAAAGGTGTGGGGCACTTTACCCAACTAAAGACTGGTAGTGTTAGATTGTGGGGCCTCACACGACTTCATAGCAGCCCAATTGATGCATGAGTTGTGTTTGCAAATCACCAACACAACCACTTACTTTGTGGTTGTGGCCAGCACCTAAAGATTTTAAGGGCTTGAAAGGATTCTTAGGGTTGACCCGTTACTATCAGCATTTTGTTGAGGACTATGGAAAGTTAACCAAGCCCCTAAGTCCATTGTTGAAAAAGGATAGTTTTCAGTGGAATAAGGAGACACAAGATGCATTTGAGGAAGTAAAGCAAGCCATTTCAACCTTACTTATTTTAGCAGTCCCTAATTTTTCTAAGCCCCTTGTACTTGAAACTCATGCTTCCAGTAAGGTTTGGGGGCTGTCCAATGCAAGGCAAACCTTTGGAATTTTGGAGCAAGGCACTATCAGAGAGAGCCCAAAACAAGTCTGTTTATGAAAGGGAGTTGATGGCAGTGGTACTAGCAGTTCAAAAGTAGTGCCCTTATTTGTTATGGAGGGAGACATTTTATTATTCTAACAGGTGAAAAGTTTATAAAATTTTTTACCAAACAATGATTGATGACTACTGAGCAATTTAAATGGGTAACAAGTTGATTGGTCAAGATTTTGAAATTTAGTATAGACTGGGGAGAGAAAATACTGCTGCTCATGCACTATCTAGAAAAGTTACATTTGCAGTGACTTCAATGTTGAAATCTCATGATATAGTAGAGGGACATGGAGGTTCAGCAAGATGATCGCCTCCAGAACATTATTCATGATTAGATTGCAGATCCAGCCTCTCATACAGGGTACTGGGTACGAAATGAAAGGGGGCAGGTTGTATTACAAGAGCAGACTAGTACTTCCAAAGCAATCAACCCACATTCCAACTCCTTTGAGAGAGTTTCATAGCTCCCCTACAGGAGGCCACTGTGTGTATTTCAGAACTTTTAAAAGAATTGCTGCAGTGGTATAATGGGAAGACTACCTAAGGTGAAAGGCAAGGATATTCTGATGGTTGTTGATACATTAACAAAGTTTGCTCACTTCAATGCCCTTAATCACCCATGAGGTGGCTACTGTATTTCTCAAGGAAAAGTAAGGCTGCATGGCTTCCCTTCTTCTATAGTTTCAGATAGAGATCAAATTTTTTAGTCAGTTTTGGAAGGAGCTTTTTCCAAGGGCAGGAACACAGCTGAAGTATAGTACTACTTACCATCCTCAAATGGATGGTCAAACATAGGTGGTGAACCTTTGTTTGGAGACATAGCTGCACCGCCTAACAGGCACTCATCTCAAGCAATGGCCTGATTGTTTGAGCTGAGAAGAGTTTTGGTTCAACACTGATTATAGCGAATCCACCAGATGACCTCCTTTGAAGCTTTGTGTGGCCAAGACCAACACTAAAGGTCACTACTATTCCATCTAAGGTGGAAGAGGTGAATCATTTAACACAGCAATGAGATGAATAGTTAGCTGAATTGAGCAGCAATTTGTTGAAAGCACAAGCTAACAAGCATATGACAGAAGTAGAGTTTCAAGTGGGAAATTGGGTTTTCCTAAAGCTGCAACTTTATAAGATGAGATCACTAGCTACAAAGCCCAGTAAAAAACATAGTCCAAGATTTTAGGGGCCATTCAAGGTGCTGGATAGAATTGAAAGCAGTGGCCACTCAGCAAGCTCAGCCCCTTCCCATCATGCTATCTGATGACCACGAGCTGCAAGTGCAGCCTGAACAGGTTCTGAGTACAACCATGATTCCTTAGGCAATTTAAAATTTCTTATCCAACTTGCCACAATATGAAAGTAGTTGGGAGTCCGCATGCATGTATTTGAGGATGGTTAGTAGGTCTCTCGGAGAAGTGATTGAAGAGGGATGTTGAAAATAACAACCTTTGTAATGAAAGCAGTGAAAACAAACAGTTATCACTGTTAATTAGGAAACTTGTTAGTTAGTTAGTTAGGAACTGTCAGTTTGTTAAGAATACAAAGTTCTGGAACTCTCAAACATCCAAGTTTACATTTTGTATTAAACTCTCTGCTCATATTGGGTCAGTGTCAGAATTAAGTTTCATCAATAAAGATTCTTCTATAACCATGTGTATCAGTGTTATACATAATTCCATCTCAAGCTAACCAACGTGGAAATATAATCAAAACCAAGGAAAACGAAACACAAAGACAACTAGGAAACTGAAGACTGAATTGCAAAATGAAGAAAACAACAGAAAACGAGACATGCCTGCTCTCACTAGTGCCTCCCATAGCTCCTCCGGCAAAATGCATCCATTATGCGCAACATCAATGGCCTGAAATATGCGATAAAGCTCGAGCTCCTTGTCATCCATGTACCTCTTGAACTCTTGGTAATCCACTCTTCCATCCTTGTTTGCATCACAAGCGTTCAACAAATCCTTCGCGTACTTATACTCTGACGGAATCTGAAGCGCCGAGAGACCTTCCTGAATGTGCACGTAATCCAAGTAACCTCGATTCTCCTTATCGAAGAAACCGAAGAGGCTTCGAATTCTCGTTTCTCTCTCTTCCTTCGTTTCCTGCAATGCCAGCAACACGTGATCCATCGTCGCCGGCAACGCCTTCTTCGACGCCTTGCCACGCTCCTCATTCTCCTTCATACCCATTGAAAAGCTTTCCAATTCTGAAAAAATGGAAATAAAATAAAATATTGAAGTGCGAGGGTTGAAGTGGCATTTATATTACTGGGATCCAAAAAGTGTGGCGTGTCTGATCCTTTACTTTCAGCGATTCCGAGGGGTTCGATTTTTCCGTCAACGGGGAGAATTGGGGAATTCAACCAAACGCGGAAACGACCGGGAACGAGGGAGGACGTAAACGACGGGAAGAGACTCTTGCCGTTTCAAGAAGGTGCCAATGGGGACGTGGAAGCGAGATTATTGCCAGCGCCGATGAGGGTGATCGCCGGCGATACCCGATGCGTTGGAGAACGAGCACGTCATCATTGCGGAAAAGAACTTTTGCTTCTTCACAAATAGCTTTTACTCTGCTAAGCACACGAAATAAAATAATAAAGAATGTGATTGTGATGAATCGGACAGTTTGATATGCACAAGAGCTAAGCTTCGACTTTCGAAGCCTTTTTTTATTTTTTATATTTTTTGTTTTTGAGGTCTTTTTTGAAAGAAAAAGTTTCTGTTTTCTTTTGTTTTTTCGCATTGGTTTTTGGCACGTGGTAAGCATGCTCTTTTTCGTGATTTTTGCGGCTTCATAAAATGTTACCTTATTTTTATATGTATTTGGTTAGAGAACAAAATTATTTGTGTTAGAAATCCAAATTAATATTAATCGTCAACTTTCTATTAATGCTCATTTGCCAATATAAAAATTGTACGATATACTGTAAACGAAGTTGCATTGTTTCAATAGTTCAAAGGTTAAGTTTGCTTGAAGAAAGAGGAAATAGAACGAACGACTAGAAGACTCTCGGAAACAAAACATAAATGAGTGAAAACTCTCTGAAGGGGAACATCTTGATTCTCAAAGTTTAAATCTATTATAAAGAGAAAATAGTGAAATTCTATTTTGCGAAGCCATATTTATAGAGACGAGATCGTGCTCACGGAACGGTAAACAAATTTTTTTGGGTCAAGCATAAACAAAAATATACTGAGAGCTTGTTCATTTTTTTATTTTTAAAAATATAAAAATTAAATTAAATTTATTTATGAACATAAAATCTATTTTTATTTTATTTTAAACATATTTTTTAAATTGTTTTAAAATATATTTTTAAAATTAAAAACCAAAATTTCTCAAATTTGAGAAGCCGTTCTCAAATTTTGGTAGCACGTTTTCAAACAAAAGTTCCACGTCAGTTTTTGTATTTCCAAAATCGAGGAAATTTTATAGGAACAAACGAGAGGGAAAGCGATGGCTACTTAAAGAAGATAATAAAGTAATAAAATAAATGAAGGGAAAACAAGGAAATTAATCATTTCATTTTGATAAAATAATCAAATTCTTTACAAGTCATTTTTTTAATATGATTTTTTCATAAAATTACCAAAATATGACTTTTTAAAAATATTACTTCAATATGATTTTTTCATAAAATTACCAAAATATGACTTTTTAAAAATATTACTTCAATATAATTTTTTTATAAAAATGTAACTAACACTTCAAGTATGAAAGTTAGTTAGAAAGAAATTTTGTCTGGTGACCATTTTTGTTATTGATGAATATTTTGAGGCTTTTTTTTTAAATAATATTTTTTTTAAATATAATTTAAAAAATTAATCTTCTGTTTGAAACTTTTTTTTTCTGTTAAATCAATACCAGTGTTAGACGAATATGAATGATAATAATTTTTTAGAAGTTTATTGTTCCAAAACCTTCAATACTGGCTTCACATTAACAACACAAATCCATAAAACTTCAGCAATGAAGAGTGAGATACTTGTCGTAATTGCCAATGTATCATCTGAGATGCGACGATAGATTTATCAATGGTCATAGTATGTCAGCACTGTCAGTTAAAATGGAATGATACTCCAAAAAATTTGTTAAACTTATAAGAAGCGGAAAGAATTTATATAGGTTAGATATATTTTTATTTAGTTTTGTATTTTTATTTATTTAATTTTTTATTATTATTATCAATTTATAAATATTAGTAAAAAGTCAATTATTTATTTATGCATATTTAGGAAATTTGTTTTTTATTATTGAGTAAATTTTTTTATGGGTAAAATTTATTTTGAAATTATAAATTTATTGTTTAATTTTATAAAAAATAGTAAAAAAATATATTAGATATAATATTAATAGTTTATGAACAATATGTGATAGTTTACTGCAACAATATTGAATAAAAAGAGTGAGAAGAGAAGCCCTATGTGTAGATAGAAACTGTAGAAAACAAATTAGAAGTTAAGAAATTACTCACCTCTACTACCAGTCAAATTACACACTAACCTCTACTATGAGCAAAATTTTACTTCCACTTCATTACCACCACCTACAAAATTTGGAAACAAAACTTTTATCTATTTTTTTCAAATCAACAAAATATAAATTATTTCACAAATGAATGATTACCTTATGATTTTTCTAATAGTAATACAGCAGATTTACAATTTTTTAGAAGAAAAACCCCCAAACCACTGCAAGAAATTTTTCTCGCTACATTAATGGAAGAAACGCAGAGGAGACAAGAGGAAGAAGAAAGGTTTGTTATGCCCATTTCCATGATGCAAGTGACAAAATCACAATGTATATCGTCCAAGATGCAACGATAGGGATGTCAACTTATTAGTCTCGGTAGCTTCTAAAATATGACACGTCGCCTACTTTCTCCCCAACAATAGATTTCAAATGTCTATCATCCCTATTTAGTCGATACAAGTGTAGCAATAACATGTGTCCACTGTAACACATTACTTTATAAACCCTCAATTAGAAAATTAGTGATTTTTTATTTTTTTTATATACTAATAATCTTCCTCTCATATATAATATCGATGTATTAAACTATTAATCTCAAAAATAAACTTTAATAAGCAAATTTTTAATAATACATTTCAAAATTTTGTCGTTGCATAAAGTACTTAAGGTAAACTTTTATAAGTGTTTAGATATCTTTTTACAGTAATACAAAGGGCAAAACGTTCAATAAGTTCCCTACATTACACAACACTGTATACTGAAGAACTCAATTACCATTTCACCTAGCAGCATAATTACATACAGATAAAATATTAGTTACAGTTCTTCAAAATAATAAGGGCAACACCGGAGATGACTTCCTACAAAGCAGCACAACTAAACGAAAAGAGTAGCTTTTACACGATACCATAAAGGCCAATGTACAACAAAAGAATGCCTATGACTAACCTTTACCACTATACAAAAAAAAGTAGTATCAGTCTTACTCCGAATCTATATCTTCAGACTAAGGAGATGAATCTCCCTCATCTGAGTCCATCTCCGAGTCGCTGGACTCATCGGTGCTTAAAGGATCATAATCCTCCGTAATATCAATATTCATTTTCTCCTCCTCAGCTGGAGGGAGAATTGGTGGTGGTATGGACTGAAAAAGATTATTATTATCTAAGTCAAGGGTTAGTCTAGTCCTTATAGTAATAGGGACACCACCTTCGGGTCCTAGTGTCGCTCTCCTTAAAAATATAGTAAGTATGCCCACAAAAGTATGGGTGTGTTTATCCCAATCATGCTGCCATCGATGTGGCTTCGGGCTAATGAGCCTGATCGTCATATTCATTTGGTGTGGAATCTGGGCCATCTCCCTCTGCTATAGCTAGTAATCGATCAAGTCCAATGAGTACCGCAGGTACAGAGAAAATAAAGAAAATAGAAAAACGATAAGGTGAGTCATAGTTCATACATCACCTTAAAATCAAACATCATTCCAAACGAATAATGATGATGGTGCATGATCCTAGTTTGTTTTTCTAAAATGTCCATGCATATGGGCTCGAATCATTTCTTAAATCAGTGATGGACTAGCCAGGAGTTGACACTACTAGGTATGAAAATCCACCCATGGAATTGTTGAGACCCACGCTCAAATACGAACCTAGTAGCTCACTAACTATGATATACGGCAAGAGCACAGTTGGGTACATGAGAGTTTGTACAGTAGGATCCCTGATGACAGGTAGCAAGCCTAAGTCTTTTAGGGATTTCAACCACTACCCTTCCTATCCTTAAATCCTCCCTCAGGGCCTCCCTATCGTATTTCCAAAGTCCATAGTCTCTAATTCCCCATTTTGCACAAAATACCATTTTCGGATGGGTAATGTATGAGTTCCTAAGTGGTTTTCTTAGAAAAGTCTCATATTCCCAAATTCCTAAATTTGTTCGAGAATGATTGAAAAATTTTCTAAGTCTGAATATTTTTCAAAATTTTGATAGAGTTTCCTCTGTAATACGGACTTTCCAAAATTTTTCAAATACCTATTACAATTAGAAAACTTTCCAATACAATTTATAAGGGTTCTTAATCCATCATTCAATTATTTCAATTTATTTTCATTAAACTTTCTCATGAAAAACCACCGTGCACATAAATACTCACTCAAAGGCAATTCATATCATATAACACAATTTATGTCTTAATGAAGTATCAAACATATATTTCCACCACCAAACACATAAGCAAACTATTATTAAAATTAAGTATATAAGAAAATCACAATCATCAATCATAACAAAATTTAGACAATTTCAACAAATAAGATTAAATAAGTTTATGATGTAATCCTTACTACATAGCACACCCCTTACCTGTTACGTCCACTTTTGTTTTCTCCAACGCTTGAAGTTGATTTCTGATAAAATCTATACACGTAATAAAACGCTAGTTAAAACCTTATAGTTCTCTGATTTTATCTCGTGGAAATTTAAACTCATTTTGTTTTGTTAATCCATTTTTGGTAATATGTTAAGTTCACATTCACCTTACACTTAACTTAAAAAAAAAAATCATCTTAGTGGGTACACACTTAGAGTAGGAAGAATCCTAATGGCAAACATGAATAAGGTTCAGTATTTTGGAATTTTCTAGAGTTATATAGACTATTTTAGCATGAGGTCAAAGCCCAAATTTCAATAACATAATTATCTACAATATTGATGAGAGGTCAAAGTCTAATTCGAGATAAGGAGTGAGAGAACTAAGAGTAAGATGAGAATGGTTATTTTCCTTGTAATCTAAGTTTTAAAATGATAAAATCACTTAAATACCCTTTGTGAGAGTGTGACTCAAAATTGGTTAGTGTTTGTTTTAACCAATAGATAACCACCTACTCTGTATTTTCACTATTTTATCCTTGCACATTGTATTTTATTTTTCTTTTATCTTTTACACATTGCCACAGCAGAGCATATATATGATAGCTAATTAGATATTTTTGCACGGTGAAAAAAGGTGTGTTGTTATTAACAAAAGAAAAACAAAAAGGAAAGTAAGATCAAAGTTCATCATATATACATATATATATATATATATATATATATAGAGAGAGAGAGAGAGAGAGAGAGAACTTGGGTTTTCTCTTATAG